GACACTCTAAAATGTGATTCAGAAAATGGAGGGAGTAACTAGATCCATGTCATTTGGTGTTTCCTAGTGTTTTGAAACAAATAACCACGATTATAGTAGAAATCTTTGCAGTAACGGTCACCTATAAAGGTAACTTGACAGGTGTTGGTTATTTTGAAGCAGAGAATGTCAGTGTTTGGTAATTAGATGCCACTCTTTTTTTTTTTTTTTGGCATTATATATTATGGTACATACGCCTTTCTACATTTCTATGTAGCTATATAATTACCTGTTCATATGCTTGTCTCTACTTGATTGTAAATCTTATACATCTTATTTATCTTATATCAACAATATCTGATACTTCTCCATCCTCTTCATTTCTTTTCATGGATCTGAGATTCCATGTAGTAGTATCAGTTTTCTTTAGCCTGAAAAACTTCATTAATACTTTGATAGTAGGGTCTCCTGGAGGCAGATTCTGTTTCTAATTATTTGGTTCTTACTTAGGAAAGATTTATTCACTTCATATAGAATCTCAGAATTGCAATGTGTTCTTCAGACTTTGGAGTTTCTGTTCCATTGCCTTTCAGCACAGTTGCCTTTGTTTCTGGTGAGAAGTTAGCTGTCATAGTATATAATTTTTCTATATGATGAATATTTATCTGTACCTCTTTGTTTTGGTCTTTATAGTTTTAAGACTATAAAGTAGTTAATGGTGTGGATTTTCTTGTTTTCTTTTCTTTGCATTCTCCTTAGGGTTTTAAAATTAGTTATTTATTTATTTACTTACTTACTTACTGTTGATCATGGGGCTTGAACTCTGGGCTTGGGCACTGTCCCTCAGCTCTTCAGTTCAAGGCTAACACTCTACCACTTGAACCATAGTGCCACTTCCAATTCTCCTTTGGTTTTACTGGACTGCTTGGATCTCTGAATTTATATTTCTAGATATGTATATTTATACATGTATATATGTATGTATATATCTGGCTATCCATCTACATACATACCTATATACATATAGATTATGTAAATATTTGTTGTATACCATTCTTGCCTTCTCTTACGCTTCTAGACCCCAATTACTTTGTGTAACAACATTTTGTATTATCACAGATCTTCCTTTCCCTTCCCCTTTTATCCCCTTTGTGGATAAAGTGATTTCTGTGATAATTTTGTTCCTGAAACAAATTCCCTATCTCTCATGGTGTCCAACTACTTTTTTCATTATATCCTTTAGCAGTGTGAACTGCCTGTCTGGTAATTCTAGCATGTGAACTATCTCTGGGTTTACTCCTTCTTTTGGACTGTGGGTCATATTTCCATGCTCTTTTGTTTGTCTTGACATTTGATTGAAGTATAGTAAAAATGAAAGTATATAATATTTTTCCTGTGTGCAAGAGTTGGAGGAGCGGGCAAATCAGTTTGATCTCCAGTTGAGCTAAGCTAGGCTTTGTTGCTTCTTTAGTTTTGATTCAGCTCATCTGTGGCCTCATATGTTTTGAGGGCTTGGGATCTGAGTATTATTGAGAATCTGACTTTCTATTTATGACTTGACAACTGAACTACCAGCTCTTCAATCTCTGGGATATTTTTTTCTGCTTTTAAGTCCCGATGTCCATTTTTAGGATTTAGAGTTCTCTTTTTGTTTCCAGTTCCACATTTCTCCCTCTGTTTACTGAGAACATTCTTTCTAAGCAGCCGTCCTGCCCCTTGTCTTTCAGAAAGCACCTGTCTAGTACTCTGTGAAGGCATGAAATGTTTCATGGTTGGTTCTCTCAGGTCTTTTGCCTTGTCTACCATCTTAGGAAAGCAGCTGTTTGCAGCTGGTGGAGACCTCACATGACTCAAGAGAATTCTTGCTTAGGTTCTTACTCTGCTCCAGCCATTGGCATGCTCCCAACTGCAGATGACCAAGACCTGAGGGAGAGTTGGTAGGTGGGAAGAGACTTGATGTATGTCTGAGGCTTTATTAATAAAGACTTCTTGAAATTCTAATTTCTTGTAGGAGCACCCATGGCATTGTTAAATTATTGATAATAATTTGACAAATAATGGGTTTGTCACCCACGGCAGTCCAAGTATTAAAAATTTGGCTGTGCTTCCTTTACTTTTATTGTACTTATCCCTGACAAACTGGGGAGAAGATAATGTTACTTCTCACTATTCAATTATTTTTGTGGCCTTAGCTTTATTTACTTATTTGTTGGTTATGGGGCTTTTACTCTGGGCCTGGGTGCTATTCCTGAACTCTTTGTCTCAAGGCTAGTGCTCTACCACTTTGAGTAACAGTGTCACATCCAGTTTTCTGGTGGTTAATTGGAGGTAAGAGTCTCACAGACATTCCTGCCTGGGCTGACTTTCAACTGTGACCCTCAGATCTCAGTCTCCTGAGTAATAGTCCCCAGTGCCTGGTGGCCTTAGCTTTTTGGAACGTTGAAAACATACATAATATTTTCAATTTTCTGGTTTGGTTTATATCTTGGGAAGAAAGCAATGGTTTTATTGAAACTACTTTCTAAACTTTATAGGAAGTTGCCATATTCCTAGAACTTTAAGTGTAGGTGATGTTAGATGGGTCAAATATAATTGTGATATTTAGTATTTTTCTTAGACATTTTCATCATAGTAAATGTGAGGGCTATTTTCTTTTTTCTTTTTTTTTCTTATTGGTGGATCGTGGGGCCTGGGCCCTGGTCCTTGAGTTCTTCAGCTCAAGGATAGCATTCTACCACTTGAGCCACAGCACCACTTCGGCTTTTTCTGCTTATGTGGTGCTGAGGAATCGAACTTAGAGCTTCATGTATGTAAGGCAAGCACTCGACCACTGAGCCACCTTCCCAGCCCAATGGGGGCTTATTTTCAATGGTAAACATTCTCTTTATATCTGTATCTTATTAGTTGAGAATATCCTGTTATTTGTGGTATTGGCAACTAAACTGTAGGCCTTGCATTTGCTAGGCTGGCACTCTACCACTTGAGCTGTATCTTTAGCCCCTTTTTGTATTGGTTCTTTTTGAAGTAGGGTCTCATTTTATGTCTAGGCTGGCCTGAGCTGCCATCTTCCTAGTTGTACTTTCCTATGTCCTTGGGGATGACTGGTGAGCATCACTGTACTCAGCATTCTTCTTCTCTGTAGCTGGGATAATGGATATGCATCACTGTTCCCAGTCATTTGTTGAGATGAAGTCTCATGAATTTCCTTTCCTGAGCTGACATCAAATTGTGATCCCCTGATCTTTGCCTTCTAACTAGGAACTCCTATTTTTTAGTGAATTAAATAATCAATACTATGACATTGTCCTTTTAAATTGAGATGTTAGGAATCATATTAGGTCTAATACAAGTTTTTGTGCTAATAGAAATGTTCTATATATCTTTGACCAATAATGGTAGCCACTATCTACAATTGACTTTTGTACACTTGAAATTTTTCTAGTGAAGCTAAGGAACTACTAACTTTTCCATAAGATTTAACCTTATTCAATAGCCTTTAGTGGCTAGTTGCTACCATGTTGAGTTTCATGATGAAAACAATAGTGTAGTATATAAGGAAATTATGAACAGTTCATAGAATCACTGATTTAAAATCTGTCTAAATACCTACTTTAAGAGTTTTAGTCCTTTTGGTAGTTTAAAATTATATGAGTCTTGAAAAAGAGTCTGGTTCTCTGTGAAGAATAGAACTTGTAAACATCAAACAATTTTGATTGAATTAGGTTTTTAACCTAACACCTACATGTTTTAAAATATCAACAAACTATTTGACCTCATGTTTAGATAAGACATTTTGCTGGACTTCCTGGTGTCTTGGTTCTTGATAATTCAGGTAGAAATTGGAATAAATATCCCACATTAGCAAACAAATAAAACAAACAAGCTATTTGATTTTTGTAGGAAACAAAAATCTAGATTTATTTTCTAAAGTTTTAATAACCATGCTCTCTGTATGTTCAAGAAGTTCAAATACAGACCAAGCTGGGCAAAGAGAATGTATTATCAGACAAAGAGAATGTATTATCAGATGATACAAGTAAAATTCACTTCTTAAAATTCTTAAATTCCATTCATTATTCTTTTCTCTGACTTGCACTAGGAGATGGTATACATTAGGGCATTTGAAAAAGGGCGGAGAGGTGTTCTACAGCGGGACCCTAAGTATAAGTTTGCTGACTTAATTTTTTTTTTTTTGGTTGGTTGTGGGTCTTGAACTCTGGGCTTGGGTGCTGTCCCTGTGCTCTTCAGCTCAAGGCGAGTACTCTGCGGCTTGAGCCACAGCGCCACTTCCCATTTTCTAGTGGTTTATTGGAGATAAGAGTCTCACAGACTTTCCTGCCCAGGCTGGCTTTGAACCGCAGTCCTCACATATCAGCCTCCTGAAGGATTACAGGCGTGAGCCACTGGCGTCCGGCTCTGACTTTCTTTTGTAAAATGACTTAGTTTGCTAATCTGTATAGTGAAGGCCACTTGTCCTTGGAACCTCAATACTATAATATTATGCCTTTAAAATTAGGAATCTTTGGGCTGGGAAGGTGGCTCAGTGTTAGAGCGCAATTAGGAATCTTTGGGCTGGGAAGGTGGCTCAGTGTTAGAGCACTTGCCTTGCATGCCCGAGGCCCTGGGTTCGATTCCTAAGCACCACATAAGCAAAAAGGAAAAAGCCGGAAGTGACATTGTGGCTCAAGTGGTAGAGCACTAGCCTTGAGCTGAAGAGCTGAGGGACAGTGCCCAGGCCCAGAGTTCAGGCCCCACGACCGGACCAAAAAAAAAAAATTAGGAATCTTTGGAGATTGTGTGATTTTTCTTTTGCCTTTATATAGGACAGTTATTGAACACTTTCCATTTTTCATATTTTTTGTTACTAATTTTAAGAACATTAATTGTGAATACTTTTTGACAAAATTACAGAGACAAAGTGATTGATCCTGTTTCCCCTTTTCCCCTTCAGTGTTGATAATGAGATAAATGTTGAGAGAAGAAATACTTACATTTTTTTTTTTTTAAATCTTTCTTTGTAGCTTGACAAATTTGCCAGCATAAGGATGCCTGGAAGCAAGAAAGAAAAACCTCCTCTACCCAATCTAAAGTCTGTGTTTGCAAGCACTGAGCACTCATCTGTGTCTTCAGAGATGACAGAAAACATTCCAAAGCCACTGTCAGACAGTGAAGTCTTAAAACTTTTTGAAAAGATGATGGTAAGAATTTTGAGTTTCTTTCTTTCCTTCTTGCCTGCTTGCCTGCCTGCCTGCCTGCCTGCCTCCCTGCCTCCCTTCCCCTTCCCCTTCCCCTTCCCCTTCCCCTTCCCCTTCCCCTTCCCCTTCCCCTTCCCCTTCCCCTTCCCCTTCCCCTTCCCCTTCCCCTTCCTTCCCCTTCCCCTTCCCCTTCCTTCCCCTTCCCCTTCCCCTTCCTTCCCCTTCCCCTTGTGCTGGGGCTTATACTTAGGGCCTCAACCTTTCTTGGCTTTTTCACTCAAGGATGACACTCAACTTGAGCTACACCTCTAATTTCAGCTTTTTGTTAGACAATTGGAGATTAAGAGTCTCATGGGATTTTCTGCCTAGGGCTGGCTTCTAGCAGCAATCAGCAGCTCTCAGCCTCCTGAGTTTCTCAAACATTTTAAGAATTTTGATTCTTCTTAAAATGTTTGAGAAATTCTTAGCTGTGCTGAGACTAATGTTAATGGAATGGAACTCATGTTCCATTAAAATAATAGTTTAACATAATAAGTTCTATTAGCACAATTTTTGTTAATTTCTGTTAACCATCTTGGTCTATAGAATTATTTCAGATTTCATTTAAGATAGCATTTCAGTTATAGATTTTTTTTTCTTTTTTCCTTTTTTTGAGAAAGAGCCTCACTATGTAGTTCAGGCTGGCTTTGAACTCATAAACTTTTTGATTTTGCTTTGTGAGTGCTAAGAGTACAGGTTTGTGCCATCATATGTGGTTGATATATTGTCCCTGGATCACAAAAGTAAAGGTCTGAAGAAAAATGTTAAGAATATATAAAAACGAACATTGTGAAGTATCAAATGTTCTATTTTTGTTTTTTGAGTAGATTATCCACATGGGCCAAGTTCAGTTTGTTTTTAGAAGATGATCACTGTGTTCTGCTGCTTTCTCTAAGTATGCCTTTTTTTTTTTTTTTGGGTCTAGTCGTGGGGCCTGAACTCTGGGCCTGAGCACTGTCCCTCAGCTCTTCAGCTCAAGGCTAGTGCTCTACCACTTGAGCCACAGCACCACTTCCAGTTTTTTCTGCTTATGTGGTGCTGAGGAATCGAACCCAGGGCCTCAGGCATGCAAGGCAAGCGCTCTACCACTGAGCCACCTTCCCAGGCCTATGCCTTTATTTATTTATTTATTTTTTTGTAGTTTTTTTTTTTAATTTTATTTTATTTTATTTGAGAACATACTGTACAGAGGGGTTACAATTACATGGGCAGGATAATGCATACATTTCTTACCAAGCATTGCAGCCTCCTTTGTTTACCCTTCACCTCCCTTCCCAGCCTCCCCCCTCCCCCCCACCCAATCATCCCCCCCCCCCCCCCCCCCCACCGACATTGTAAAGCTGGTTTTGACATGACATTTTGTACTTCTCATTGTTGCAACAGGTCCACCTGAATCCTTAAACGACTTGTTTGTCCCCATCTCCTCCACATGTTATACTGACATCAAATATAGTGAAAGTGGGGGTTACACTGTGGGGGAGGGACATACAAAGCAACAAAGAAATAATCTTATAAATGCGTTAGAAACACATGCATGAAAGAAACAAAAACATTAAAATACATATTTGAGGGTTCGTTTTCCTAACATCACATTCTCTGACTTTTTCCGCTTGACTCATACCTATACTAGATATTGCAAATAAGGGAAACCATGGGACCTATGTTTCTTTGGGCCTGGCTTACTTCACTTAATATAATTTTTTCCAAGCCTTTCCATTTCCTAACAAATGGGGAAATGTCTTTCTTTCTGATGGAGGTATAGAATTCCATTGTGTATATATACCACATCTTCTTGATCCATTCATCTCTATGCCTTTATTTTTGACAGTGTTTTATTCTTTTCTTAATTCTTACTGTATTTTTGTTGTTATACTATAAATAGTTAATACCTGTATATGTGAACCTTCTCCTTTTCTAGTAGAGACGCAAAGTATCCTTTGGGACAGGCCTTCTTCAGTTAGTTTTTTTTTTTTTTTTTTTTTTGGGTCTGGTCGTGGGGCCTGAACTCTGGGCCTGGGCACTGTCCCTCAGCTCTTCAGCTCAAGGCTAGTGCTCTACCACTTGAGCCACAGTGCCACTTCCGGCTTTTTTCTTCTTGCTTATGTGGTGCTGAGGAATCGAACCCAGGGCCTTGAGCATGCAAGGCAAGCGCTCTACCACTGAGCCACCTTCCCAGCCCCCTTCAGTTAGTTTTTAACTGTGATTCTTTGATTCAGCCACTGGTTTTTAAGCTGGATGAACTAATTTGACCAATAACTCATATGTATTAAGTATATTCAAACCATTTGCCACAAATGAATGATAATTTGGTCTAAACAGATTTATTTACCTATATACTTGCTACTTTCAGGTTGCTTATCTCCCAGGATTTAAATCTAACATTTGAAAAATTAAATGAGAAATGCCAGAAGATATTATTTAATAAAAGTTTTTTTTGTAAGTTCAGAAACAACTTTAGTTTTTGAGATATCTAATTAGCTTCCCAGGAACAACTATAGATAAGCTATTACAGTAGTTTAGGAAAATTTAGTAGGCAAGGTGAATGAGGGTCAAATCTTAATTCAGAATTTGGATTAGCAAAGGGAAGGGTGGTATTTTGAGATGGAGGAAATAGCAGTAAGGAAAGATGTTGAGCTAGAGAATAAATACCTCCAGAGGGACCAAAACCAGATCAGAAAAATTAGATTGGAATCATAACTAGGGACAGTTTATGGAAGGATTTTATATATGTTAATCAGAAGAGTTGTATTTTTTTTTTGAATCTGAGAAATACTACTCCCTAGTCTCGTCATTGTTCAGACGGACTGCACGATCTGTTTGTATTGCCTTGCCTTATTCTCTGTTCATCACAATATTTGTGTCCAGGGTTAATATGACTAATTTCTGTCTTCATAGGGTTTTTAAAGAAGTGTCCATGATTCCTAAGGCTCTGTCTACCATCTTTCTCTCTGTCTCTCTCTCTCTCTGTCTGTCAATAGAGATATAAATTTTATATCTATGACCACTATATATATATGTAGATAGATGTATCTCTATATATGTAGTTTTCATTTTTATTTTTGCAAAAACTGGGGAAACTCATCTATTATACCACCTTTCAATGAGATGCTAATTTATTTTGCTAACTATACATGGGTTATTGCTTCACTCTTGGTACGATGTGCTTCTATAATTTTAGCCAAGAACAAAGAAAACTTTATCTCTCCTTGCTGGTCTTTGCTACTGTCAATGAAGCTTGTATGGGAGGGCTCCTTTTTGTTTACTACCTGTGAGAACTCTCATGGATGCACTATATGTGGTGACACCCTAATTTCTGTGAAATTTTGGAATGGAACTTTTATGGCTCAGTTGTGATTACCTGAACTTTTAAAAAGTCATATCTGTGGATGCCATCTGAGTAAGTAGCCTATTGATCTTTAACATTTGTGAAGATCACATTTTTATTTTATTTTATTTTAAATCACAAGTAGTTAAAAGAACAACTATCTAGTGAGTACTGAATACAGGTTATTCTATTATTTTATTACTCTTAGAGTAGGTAGAAAGCTATCAGTTATACAATCAGGACAGATGGATTTAGGCAATTTTGAAGTGATTACAGAATGATTTTTACATAATCAAGCCAAATCATTTATGAAATTTTAATCTATTTGACAACAATTCAAGGCCACCCAGGGCTACATAGTGGGTTCAAGGCCAGTTGGAGCAATATATGGAGACTCTATCCTAAAAAACCAAAGTCTGGGATTGTAGCCTAGCTGTACAGTACCATGTGCCATTTCAAAAAGAAATTCAGTCATTAGCTATTTTGACCTTTTGTCATTTGTTCCAACAGAGATTTCATACTGTTTAAAATTGTACTTCTGTTTTTTGTTTTGATACTATGCAGTTTTAAAAATGATTCTTATTTACCAATTATCAGAAGTATTTAATTTTTTTATGGAGTAAAAGCTTTGTTTTGAAGAATTCCTCTTTTTCCCTTCTTAACATAGTCTTTTTGAAGGATTGTGCTTACTTGATTACTTAATGAATGCAAAGAACAGTGTAATACTTCAACATTTTTACTCATTTTACTTAGGAAATTGATTTACTTGGTCTCTAATATTTAGCTTCCATGTGTTTTCTTAAAGTAATCATAACTTTTTAGTTATTCCTCTTAGGGGTTTGATTTTTGTTTTAAGCTGTATTTTTAGCTGAAAGCCCACCTTGATTTTTAAATGAGTTTTAGGTACAAGAAATAGTTTTATTTGTCACTATTTATACATTGTACATTTCTGAAGTTAGTTTCAGTAGTGGTTTCTAGTGTACTTTTTGTAGATACATCTGTTTTTGAATAAGGTAAGCAAAACTGGCACAGGGTGAACTTGATTTGTTTATTCTAGTTGTTCCCTCTTTAAACCTGGCCTCTTATTTATTCTTGACCCCAAGTAAAATCTCAGGCAAGCCTCAGAGCTTTCCTGGTAGCTTCAAATAAAATCTCTAGCCTAATACAAACAGCCTAGTAGCATCCAAAGAATACTTCTTCCTTTACCTCTTTTGAGTTTGTTGTATTTGGAGTTTGCAGCTGGGGCTTTTGTGGGAGTACTTGGTCTCTGTTTCCTCTCCTAGCTTTTCTTTCTTTCTCTCTAGATGGAATTTGTCACCTCCAGGATTGAATTGGATAGAAGGAAACAAATATCTGCTGGTCTAGGGTGTTTATAGCTTGCCCTTGGTGTTGTATGTAGGGTGTTAGATTAGTCTCCAATGTAGTACTGTTGTAAGAAATTACTGAAGATGGATGGATAAAAGAACCTAAATGAATTAGAGTTGTGAGATTGAAAATCCAGTTTGGCTCTACTGGTTCTATAGGTTTTATAAGGCCAAAGTCAGTGGTAGTTGGCCAGGGGTTTAATGGAGGCTTTATGAAGGATTTTTTCAAATTCATTCAGGGTATTAACAGAATAAGACCGTTGCAATTGTGGAAC